TACAGCAGGTCCCTTCAACATCGAGGACCAGAGGCAGCCCAGGAATTTCCACACTGCACCATTCAACCCTGAAGAGATAGAACTGTTTCTTCATTGGGGTCACATCAGTAGTATTCTCGAATTGCAAAATTCAGAACACTCCGAATGCCGATAGACACCGATTTTCTCTTGAGACAACAGCATTTCACGATGTCTATCAAGAAGGCATCAGCACCTGACTGCTGACCTTCATTCACATCAATGCCTCAGCAGGGCAACTGTGGATCCTCCACAAGTCTGTCAAGGTAACTTTATTGCACAACCATCAGTTCCTTAATAAGCCTTAAAATTACAGGGGCTTCTGAGTAAACCGTCTTGTGCACTGTCTGCTGTCTCAGGAATGGCAGGTGCCACTGTCCAACACCATGCAGACATGGCGTTGGCCAGAGGCACACACTGTACACCCGAGAGGGATCATTCTTGTCAGAGCGGGTAAAGAGCAGGTGAAGACGCAGACCGACTGTCAGGAATCCCTCGTCAAGATAAGACTGGGTACTGACTTGTCAGACAAGCAGAGGAGTGAAAGGGAATGACCTTTATTAACAGACTCCATTAAGCCAAGAAGAGGTCACTGCCGAGGACAGGAATCAGTAAGTACTGGGTGGACGACACCCAGCCTGGAAGGCAAATGTGCACAAAAAAAAAAAAAAAAAAAGTACTGGGTGGACGACACCCAGCCTGGAAGGCAAATGTGCACAGGGCTGGTGTGTGGGCCTGGGGTCACGTGCAGCCTTCTGTACCTTTCAGCCCTGAGCGGATGACAGTAGGAGACAAGTCGTCATAGCTGTTCATTAAGCTGATGTCTCCCGAGGTGAAGCTGACAGTGAGCAGGGGCTTGATGTTCTGCACGGGGATGGGATACGCTGCTGGACCATCTGCGGGAACAAGAAGTGCTGAGTGAAAGGGAGGCAATGAGCACGCGACCCAAATCCAGGTCTGCAAGGCTGCCATCTTGCAGAGGGCCTTAAAAATCGCCGGACGATGCAGATCAGACTCTGGATGAGGCAACATCCTACACCACTTGGGAACTATACAAGGCCATCAGAGGAGTGCTACTAGAGAACCCTGGAGACGCAGGATGGGAGAGGCAGCCCTGGAGTGCGGTTCCTTGGACTCTGTTGTGTGGTAGTGAGAACACGTGTGACAAGTTTATTAACTGGTATGTTAATATGTTATATGTTTCTAATGACATGTAAACATAAATCATTTTAATGTCATGTAATGCATAAGGATGGTGAGAAGAGGGATGAAAACGTTTTCTTAATCCTGATCCAACATACAAAGAAAAGCTGCTTTTCAACACTGACTGCTCTTTCATTGAATGTTATAGGAAATGAGAAGCCACAGCAGCCACCATGAGTTCTTTGCTAAGTTTTTACCAAAAGAGACCCCAAATCTGGAGAGAAGGCTGAGGTTGGACGTCACTCATAAAGAATTTTGCTACATCTGCAGTGCACATAAAGAAAATTCTGCTTCGTAAGTTCAAGGAGTACTCGTGGATGGTAAGGAAGGAGCCATGGTGGACCATGTTCTGGATTCTTCCATGTGTTGTTTCAAAAAGTGAAAGTCAGCCCCCCCACAGGCCAGGGTGAATCAGGGCTCTGTCAGAAGACTCCTGCAGGCTTCACACCCACGCTGAGCTCGTCTCTGGCAGCCACACTGGCAGCTATCCAGGGCGGGCCAGCTGACATCCGCTCGCTCACTCTTGACTCAGCCCCGCCTGCAGAGCATCCCGTTATTGCTTTCCTTTGCTTACTTTAAGATGCTATAGGTACCTACCTCTGTGCTCACATTCCCTAGGCCACCAGGAAAAAACATGCTCTATCTGAAAAGCAGATCCCAGTCATCTTCCAAATTACCCCATTTCTTCTGAAAGGGTAACTGGTTAGACAGCAAACAGGGACTAAATTCTACTCTTAGACTTACTCTGGACTTGCTTTATAAACTTGGTCTCTGGATTTCATTTCTTCCAATAATAAATGGGGATAAGTAAATCGGCATTAAAACTAGTAAAGTTCTGTTTTAAGAGAATGCTGAATCCACTGTTGGAAGACACTGACTGTATCACTGAGGCTGGAGAAATGATGACCACTTCACTCAAGGCTGCAGTCCTACTAGGAAAGGGCATGGTTACCTCCCAGATAGATTTATGGATGCTAAGAACACTCTCCCTCCCAAGACCCACTGATCCTGAAACACTACCACTGATCTGAATTGTTTTCTATGTGTGAATGTCGTTTTCTCCTTAAATGAATGAATGAGTATGTATATGTCTCTGGGAAGTATAATATATCATCATGTCTGGGACAGGAGGGAGAAGACAAAACAAGAGAACTCCAAGTGCCAATGGAGGCAGATGCTGATGGGAAGGAAATTAAAATATTTTCCCTGGAACAGCCCTTTATAGGACGAACATGCCCACAGTCAGAGGGAAGGGTAGAAATTGTCCAGTGTTTGTCCTTAGCCCATTAAGGGCACTTAGCAAGCAGTATGACCATGTCTCATCAGGGAGTCATTCCTTTCCACTATTTCACAATATATTTTCTTTTAAATAAAGAGGTTGGTGCAGGGGACGGGATGTTGGGGAAGAGCCAGAGCTTGAGCAGGCCAGAGCTGAATGCTGACGTTGGTGATGGCCCGCATCAAGATCAAAGGCTTCTGCTTTTTATGGGGAGGGAGAAGGGTGTCTCTTACACATTTGAGGGATGAACCAACCGCAAGAGAAGGAGGCCGGAGTCTGAAATCATCCCCACCAAGAGTCTGAAACGATCTTTCATTACTGGTCCAAATGCTAAAAAACTGGAAATGTCAACTAATCTAATCTAACATCACTGTGAGGCTTATGGGGGGGGAGCAGGGGAGGGCAGGAGGCAGACTCTTCTGAACTGGGAAAGGGAAGAGGTTCTGCCTGAAATAAAGACAGCGACACGGATATCAGCCCAATGTACTGGCCTTCATTACGGGCAGAACTAATCCTTTCTCACACAACTAAAGCTACAGGCTTTAATAACATCAGGGAGCTGGAACACCACACATTAACTTATAGTAACAGCACAGCTTATTCCATCTTCAGCTCTCTTTATTCTCACTAAGCA